TCATAGGCATTCAGTTTGCAATTGGATTTCAGTTTTACTTGTGCTTTCATGGAAGGATTAGCAGTCCTCCTAAGTAGGCCATTTGCTGAGGATAAGCTTGATCCTACAGTCACGTTATTCTCTGATTGCAAGTCCTATTTGCTGCAGTCTCTGTGCAGTCAACGCTTACTTAAACTTTATAGCCTATGGAAGTGTTAAAGCATACACAGAAGGAAAGGGGACAGAGAAGTCAGGCAGGAATGGTGGGTGCCCAAGGAACACAGGTTAGACACATGAGTAGTTTCAGCACCTTTAGTGCCTCCAGTCTGTTACAGAAAGACACATTCTTTTAACTTGCTGAATGGAGGAAGTGTAAGTGAAACCGTAAAACACAAAACTGCTATTCCAGTGGGTACTAAGGCAGCAGTACAAGTCAGTGCAAAGTAGGCCACAGTTGGAAGCATTTACTTCTTTGCCCTATTGCTATGGATCCAGTTTTAAATTATTGTAAAAAAAATGGCTGTGATTGATTAATAGCAGTGGTAGACTTATCTGAGATCTTGTGAAAACACATCTTCACAATCGTGGTGTTTTGGTTTTGTGTATGTGTGTGTAGCTACTGGAAGACACCTTAAGTGAAGTTTTGGTTCTGCTTTCACAGCAAATTTGTAACCAATATACTTAAAAAAAGATAATAATGGCTGTGTATTCAATTTTGTTGTCCAGTTAGGTAAGTTTGAAGAAACATATTGTATATAAAGAGTGCAGAATATTCCACAGCCCTGAATAGTGATGTTGATCCAAATCTGCTTATTTTGAATAACTTTTTTTTAAAGTGTTTGCATACAGTAGTGATCTTAGAACAGATTCTTGCTTGACCAAAGTACTTCTATTTAGTTTTGTGGCATGGTTTATATCTATTCAGGATAAAATTTTGTTAGGTGTAAAAATGACATGGCATTGACAATTCTTGTTCATTGGGGTTCATGAAAGCTACCATTTTGATTTGTTTACATGAAAATAGTCTTAATTCTTACAGGTTACTTCACCTGTTCCTCTAGTACCTAGGGAAGTCACTTTGAAAGAGT